TGCCATTCCCAACTTCCAAGTGACTGTCAAACCATATGACAGATTAAGATGAAACTTCAATGTTTGTATTGAGAAGGAAAGTCATGCATATTAAGTCTGTAAAAAAAATCCAGCATTGGACAGTCCAATTCTTGGGGGATTGCCGCGGGCTGTAAGGTGGTCCAATGTAACCAAGCCCTTTTAGAGTTAAGACGTTAGGAAGTACCAGGGCCAAATCTACTTGCAAAAATTAATTTCTTCACAGATGGCAAATATGACTAACAAGTGACAGCTCTTGTACCTGCTGTTTCTCCATCATCTGTTCCTGTTCCTCATCACTGTCAGAGTGGCTGTCACTTGGGTCATCATTAGAATTGAGTCTCTTTTGAGCCCGCTTCTTGAGAGGAACAAAAAGGAGATAAAATACGGATGTCATCACTGACTCTAGGTGTTAACTTCAGCAGTGAAAACAGTGGTAAATGTAAGCAGTATCTTCCTTAGTGGAAAGCTGCATTGAAGGGTCAAATTTGTCGGATCAAGAGAGTCACAGTACAAAAGTTTTGTATAGAATTGTTCATTTTGTTTCTGATATCTAGGGCCTTTTCACACACAGTCTTTAGACAAAGTACATGAACTTACCTTCTCTGTCTGTGCTACAGCTAACATCAGAGTCATCTTCATCATTTTCTGTGAGGCCAAACTTGTCAGAGCTGACAAAGTGTAAACAAAGTAATGATTATTTAAGCAGCAAGACGTAAGAACAGCATAGAAAGACGGTGGTTCATGGAAACCTTTACGAATCCTAAAAAATCCTTCCCAGAATGATACATTCTCCAAAATTCTACGGACACATCAAGTCCCATTTGCATTCAAAGAGGCTGGGCTGGGTTCTACCTTCCTCAATCTTCCACAAATCTCCTGGTGGACTTTGAAGGATCTGGGAAGGTTGGCATTAAGACACATGTTATTGTACGGGGAAAATGAATAAACTTGCAGGAATAAAGTTCGCTTTCTCAATCCAGTTTTTCATTGAATAACCTGGTGCTGGGAAGGAACTTACTCAGGTTCTGTGCTCTCCACTGATGCTGCCCACTCATTGGTCACTCCTTGCTCCATCATCTTCTCTTAATGACTTCCTCCTGCAATAAAAACAAAAACAATGCATCCCTTCAGCTTTTACTCTTGTCACAGCAACATCCTTCATTTATTGTTGAAGTCCCCTAACTGTGCGCCCCCTAACTTTAGTGCAGTTTGATTTTTTGTCTCCAGTGCCTTGCAAGAGCAACATTTTTACCTCAAATTTCAAAGTAAGTGAAATTTCATCAAACTCCCAAAAATCTAATTCAAAACTCCCTATTTTACTCACCCACTAAAACTTTCCAGTGAAATTTTTATTCTAAACCTGCCCAAAAATTAAAAATAATTTTGTAACAATCATTTCTTTTTAAGTGTATGTAAATTGAAATAAAGTAATAGAAATTATCAAGTTTACAGAACTTCTTAAATGTTTATGTAGGGTTTTTGGCAATTTTTTCAAGTGCACCACATGAAGGACCATTAACAGTCAAGATGCAATGCCACAATTACTTGATATTCTCGATGTTAGTCGAGATGTAGGCCTACATGTACGGAAAGAAATCCATTACTGATGCCACTAATAATTCCCTACAGTGACCTATTTTATTAGTATAGGTACAACCAGCCATCTCAAAGCAATAAAAAAGTGTCCTAAAAGGTCAAAAATTTAGCAGTGAAAATGTTGCTGGTATTCACTCAGAAAACACTTGAACATTTTCAGACCATTGTCATAAGGTTTCTTCAACTCCACCGTCCATTTGGGCAAAGGGTGTCAAGCGGCATCTACATCTATTTTATTTATCTATTTATCTGATCAGCCAACAGCACATTTAATAGCAATTACAGGATGATGTAGTGTGAGGAAGACAATGATGAGATGTTCAGTTTTAGAGGTGGGAAGACATGCCCGGATAAGTGTCATACAAGCACCCCCTCAATGGTTGAAAAGAGCCATGTCATGCATGTTGGTAGGGGGAGTTCATTTACTGGTAGCGACGCACTCGTGATGCGTGTACTTCATAGTCTCCTGTGATGCAGTTCCCACCACAGGAGCCTTTGTTGCCAGGAAAATTGTGCCCTCTCAAGGTCCCACCCAGGTCTCATACATGCACATAACCCTAACTGAAGAGACCAAAAGTACCGTCCAATCTGGGCTAGGTGACAGGCCCAGGCTGAGAATAAGAACATGATCGATGGAAAAAAGATATTTGCCATGTTTAGGAGGTTCACCCCTAGAACTGTGGGGTATGCCTACAGGATGTTCTAAAGTCACTAATGNTATATGACTTGCGGCCATGTTTATACAGGGTTGCAATGCTGTCTGTTTTTTTAATCCAGCCTTTGAGGTATCATGACTGGTGACACAAATTCAACTTTTTCTATCGAATTTTCACGCCAGAACAACCTTAACATGCTTAACCCTAACCCTCCTCAATCCTTCACCTGTTGGAGGACTGAGGAGTGTTAGGGTTAAGGTACCTACATATAAAGCTCTTGAAAACTGTGTAATTCTCTTGAAAACTGCGCAATTAACACCAGTTTTTAGACTTTAAGACCAATCTTATTTTGAAATATTGGAAGGTTTATTAACATCTCTCCCGTTTTCTTCCGAACAATCACACTGTACTGAACAATCTGTGTGCATCACAGGCTCGGTGCACATGCGCGGGCCAATGGCCAATTTAGCAAGGTCAGTTTGTCCAGAGAGGGCAGAATCTTGTTACTATCGCATGAGTGGCCTCTGAGCTGTGTGACTGGAGTGATACCATCAGGCCAAGTACTATGCTAGCTGTGGCAGGTTAAACACTGCCACCTTCAAAAATAGTCGAAATGACATGCGAAACTAGCTCAGCTATACTGGGCCTTGGCTGTCGCTGCATGTGCTCTGTGTGATGCACACAAAATGTACAGTATGGTACAATCATTGGGAAGAAAACGGAAGAATGATGAGGAAACCCTCAGTGATTTTTGGTGTAAAAACCTCAGCTTTAGCCTGGGTACCTCAAGCTTAATGGTTGCTCTCTTTCTTGAGGGAAAATTCTATTGAAAAAAAGCGGAATTTGTGTCACTTCGAGTCCGAGTCCAGAAGGTCTTAAGTCTAAGTTCAAGTCTGAGTCTTTGAAAATCCACTAATCTCCACAGCAACTGACAACAACTTAACAAAGAAGTTACTAGTATACATGTACATGAACCAAGTTTTTCATTGACTTTTGTGTTAGGCTTAATAGGCCAACATATATTATGTTATATGCCAAAGTTTGTCACACTGGCAAGAAAGACTGGGATTTTGCCTTCTCATCTGAGGTAATTAGTGATGCATTCAAGTGCCTGACCTTCCCAAATTACAAGGCCAGGCATCTCATGCACATGTCAGTAAATTTACATGAACAGTATATGCAATTTTAGAATTCTGGAAATTTATACATGTACTCTAATGCAGGTATGCTAAAGTGCGTTGAAACTAGCTTGGAAGATTTTTATTCATGCTGCATCCATGTGCCTGCCTTCAAGAGTTGACGAGACTGAGTTAACTTGGGACCGAGTTGACCTGAGATGGAGTTGACTCGGAGCGAGTTGATTCCAGACCAAGTTGGCGACTTCACACCGACTCTGATGGGTATACAGTGTGTGTACATTGCCATGTTTCACTGGGCCATATCTGAATCTTTAAAAAGGCAATTCCTAAGAGTCCAAGTTGCTCAGACTATTATTGACTGATCTACATCATCCTGATGCAGTCGCATCAATTATCATTTCAACAATTCAAATATACACAGCATGCCAAAGTGAAGTTGGGCTTGTATCATATTATGGGATGGCCTAGTAGTGGTATTACAGCTGCACTTATGGGGAGCACATGAGATCCAACAACTTGAGGGATAAACAATTAGCAAGATGTGAGCAAAATCTCAGTGGGCCTGTGAGTGTAGGCATGCCTAGTGTTGATCTTAGTACCTGTAGGGTTAGTCTCAACATGGTCTTTTTCCTTTCTCCAACTCCATGGTCTTGTTACGCCCCAAATATAGCATCAGTCCCAACTATAGTTGGGCCCGTCCCAACTAGAGTGCTACAGTAGGGCCAGCCCGACTACAGCAGAGAGGTCCTGTGTGCATGATGTGCCCAGTGTGACAAAGTCATATTGTTTACAAATTTCATGTCATTGGTCATAGGGCTAGATGAAGAGATGAAGTGCCACATTTTAGATGAATTGTGTCAAGTGTGAGACACATTGACTTGGATGATGTTGAGATATTTACATTGGTCAACTATTGTTTCGTTTCACTATTGTGAAATGAAACAATAGTTGGGCCAGCCCAACTGCAGCACTACAGTTGGGACTGTCATATGGTATAGTTGGGGCGTACTAACAGTCTCATCACTCTCAACTGACGAACTAGGCCAGTACCGGTTTTTCTGTAAAGGCTAGAATAATTAAAGCAAAATTCATTGTACTTACTCCATCAATGCCATCTGAATCATATAGTCGGCAAAGCCTCCATCAGGAAACATCACACCAACTTAGGTTGGTGTAGGTGTGCTACCTACCCCACACGCAGGGCTGGAGACAGATTGTAAAAGAAAGCCACTATAACACTACAGCCCAACGCACGTGTGGGGCCGGCTAGTAGAGCCTACAGGTGTGTCAGCGATGTCTCAAAGACAAATGTCCCTCTGTATTCAATTGTAGCTGCAATGAACTTTTACTTTGCACAATATTCCTGCATCTTTGTTCTCTTGTTCATGTGAAAACTCTTACACACTCCTGTTCAATGCACTGAAAAAGCATGTTTTAAACAATCAAAATTATCCTGCAATTGAGGGCGCTGTTGCTTTGAAATCATCTAGGGAACACATGGGTTAGTGCATACATGTGGTGTTTCTGTTCAAATTGTCACGTGAACCCAGAATCTACCAACTGGAAACATATCTGAGAGAGGGGTTGATGTTTTCTTATTGATATGCACATAAACAGCAATAAATCAACAAAGAAGAGAACACTGAGGCCAGGACAATTTACAAAAGTGTAGGACTGTCACGGTGTACAAACCAATGTAACATTGCAATGATTGCTTCTCCCAACGAAGAGCATCTTGGTTTTCATTTGCAGCCACGCCTACTCCTGGCTGTCTTATTACGGTGTGCACTCTCCGATTTCGTGGTAGCCGGTTTTGGGCATCTGCCGCCTATATAGCACATCATTTGGATTTTTTAAAATGAACTAAAAGAAGCATCACAACGTACTTACGAGCACTATAACTTGTGTACAGCTCGGAGTAGGCTGGGGGCGGTGTCAGAAGGCCCGGTTTTCGCGTCTCAGTTGGAGAATGATGTGATAATAGCAAATCTGCGTGCCATGGGATTAGTTAATCGCCTCAAAGCCATATCGAAAAACCTGCTGATAATACAACAGAGACAAAAAAGGAAACTTGTTGATTTCACTCAATGTTGTCTGTCGTGCAAGGAAGAGTGTTTTAGAACGTATGAGGTTTATGAAACAGACTTTGGTAGCACGCAACAAGGAACAAGACGTTCCTAGCGGCTCACCTATTTGCACAATTATATCGTCATAACTTTAAACTCACTTGTTCAAAAAGTTGCTTATAGAGAGATTAAAGGTCCATTTTCTCTTTGGGTCTATTATGATCTTGGTTGTGCGTAAAGATTGGAAGTGCTTCGCTCATCAAGTTTCAAATAATTTCGGGTGCGCAGTGGCTTCCTATAGTTACAAAAGGTAGGCCCTGAATTTAAGAACTTAAAAGTTACAGAAACAGTTGTTCCCATGGATAACAAGTTGGTTTCACAAGTTTTTTCTGTCGCGACTTTATTATACTGGGAACTTTCCTCCGTCAATGCAAACTTGGCAAGACCCATCCTAGAACCCATAATTTTCTTGTATGCGGTAAATGGCTTGCTAGCGTGCCAATAATTTGGGGAGTCAGGTAAGTGTTGTAGCGCTTTCCTCGCCTTCCACCTCTGCGACCTGGGTCCGAATCCCACCTAAGTCAACATGTGGATTGGGTTTTCAGTTCCTGAATCCCTGCGTTTTCTATGGTATTCATTCTGAGTTTTCCTCCCACCGTTAAAACCGACCAAGCGTGTCATGGGCAAAAGTCCTGACTTTTGCACATACGCCAAGGGTACAAAGCCTTGGTCAGTATTATTGACAAGCATGGCGCTTACTTTATTTACATGTTTAAGAATTTTAAGAATTGCATTGCTTGAACTGACATTTAATAATAGGCCAGTGTCCTGATCAACTGTGCTGGCCAATAAAACAGCACCGCTGTCCCAAAACACAACTTGCTTGTTTGACTGCCTCATTTTTCTGGGAGTAATTGAAATGGCAAGGCTAACCCTTTGTGGCAAATATTACTTTGCAGAAAATCTTTAAAATCATCATTTTGAGTGATTTTTATAGTAGTTTGGCAGAAATGTTTGAAATTCTCATTTTGAGTGATTTTAATTGAAATTGCAAAGCTATTTATTAATTCTGCATAAAATCTTGGAAACCATTTTGAGTAATTTTTGAATTTTGGGAATGGCAAGGCTAACCCCTTGCAAATAATAATTTTGCACAAAATGTTCGAAATCCTCATTTTATTGAAAAAAATGGTAAAACTATTTCCTTGCAAATATTAATTCTGCAGAAAATTTTGGTAATTATTTTGAGTGATTTAATTGAAATGGCCTGCAATTTTTTTCCAGAAAATCTTGTAAAATTAAAGTTAACTTTGCTGAAAATGTTGGAAATCATCATTTTGAGCGATTTTTATTGGAATGGCAAGGCTAACCCCTTAGAAATGTTTGCATTTTTAATTTGGGAAAAACAACAAATACTGCTCATCCCAAAGCATTCTTCCCAAAAAGGAAACATTAAAAAGGACAAGGTGTTCATGATGCACTTTTATTAATTTGTGCAGAAAGAACGCACGGTTTACCAAAACAACTTTCTAAAATGAACACCAACAATCCCAAATGCAACAATTTACAGGAATGTAACCGTCTGATGGCAGACAGGCAGAAACCCTCACTGCATCCGATGAGGGCTCCATAAAATAAAACAAATCATCTAGATCTGAAGAAAGGATTCAGCTGTTGACCTTTTTGGCTTTCATTATTCATGAACCTGTAATTCACGTAAACGAAGGTAGGAACTATGATGGGATTCCCAATGAACACCAAGGTGATATTAAATGTTAATCCACATGTCCATCGTTAACCCTATAGTCCTGAATGGTCCTTCAGCAGTGGAAGGATTTTGAACCGTCGGAGGCAAAAGAAACATTGACTTCTTGAGTGCCCACACTCTGTGATTGCTATGGTAATTGAAAATTAAGAATCACACAAGTAACAGGCAATATAATACTAACTTTCGTACACATTACAAAGTTCTTTGTGAGCAATTCATGGGCTAAACTGAGCAGTACAAGAGCGAGTATAAAGAGAGCTCAATAGAGGCTTTGTGTGGTAGCCATCTTGTGGGGCAGTTCTTTTGTTCCACAGGAAAACCTCCAATATGCATACCCTTTTGAACAAAACAGCTGTGCTGTAAGGTGGCTACCATACAAAGCCTCTATTTGCTGAAAAAAGAGTACTTCTATAAGATGTTTGCTCAATAAAAATCTTTCTTTTCCGCATGTGACAAAGTTGGTTTGCCACAAATGTTCCAAGGTGCTTCAAATAGTCATGCAGAGTGACATTCTATCATGGGAACGTTGTACCACAGATGAGTTGCTATGTACTCCTGGCTTACTTCTAAATAAAGAAGTGTCTAAATAAGACATACCTCATGAAAGAAATCAAATAGGGATTAAGTGAGAGCTCTTAAAATAAATAACATAATTGGATTCAACAATCTTTCCCATCTCAAACCTCATGTCCTGTTTAGTAAAGTTAACGATTCATGTCAAATACCTTGAATTAAAATTCTGAGAACAAATCAATGAAAAACCTCACAAAATTAAAAACCTATCATATCCTCCTAATGAACTTGTACTTCAATTCATGGTTAATATTGCACATTCTTATCAGACACTGTTACATGATCTATATATAGGTAGTGACATTTTGCTTATGTCGCTGTTTGTACACTTCAATGCACAATATAAAAAATAAGACCAAGGACCTGCAAAGGGCTGCCAACATTTTAAAATCCTTTGACAATTTCTAAATCAAAATGAAGTTCTTTACAAATGAGCCATAAAAGATCATTTAACATGATTACGTAATACCTGCATGGTCTTTCATTAGTTATTGACGGGGTGCTCAATGACTGAACTCCCAGGTTTTGGGGGAATTGCCGAGTCTTTTGAGAATAATGGAAAATTTAATACACTGCTGTGATAACGACATTAGCACCTGCTTATTTTCAGTAACATGGTAAATATTAAGGGCAAATCAAACACACAGGTCCACCCCTGGGGTACCCAGTAGAAAGCAAGGGAGGAAATAGCAGAAACAATCCTGCTCATGGATAAAAGGGCCGAGATTCAAGGCCTCCAATATGGTCCCTGATGAGAGACAGAACAGCAGCAAGGAATCCTAGCTCATACCGAAACCAACAGTGCATTTATTCAACCCAAATGGCCCTCAGTGGAAAGAGCAATGCACCAGAGAACTACCTTGTTACTAAAACGATTATGACTCCCTCGATTTGTTTCATGGAAGACTTCAGTCATCTAACATCAGTGAAAATAAATGACTACCTTGCCTCACCGGTCATGCCAAACATTACCTTAGACTCTGTACATTTAACAGTACATGTACACTGTAGGTACTGTACATTAAGTCAATTAACTGGTGTAAACGAGTGTGATAGGAAAGAAATGTGCCCGGAAACAAGACCTGAGAGGGCATATGGCATTTCACAGCCTAGATTCTTCTCCCACTACTTAGTTGCTTCATCTCGGACAATTTCTTACACATGATTCACTCAGTTCTGGAAATCACCCAGGATGTGTCTGAAAGTTTTGGCAGCAGCTGACAATAACAAGAACACCTATAGGAAGCCACTGACTATCGGCTGCAACCATTTTCTTACAGATGTGAGTGTTGCGGCAGGGCAGACATGGCCCACATTTGCTATGATCTGGATGTAAGTTATCTTCATTGAGCATTTATGTTAAAGAAACAAGGGATTCCTCAAAGGTGCCCTAGCTTGCAAGCCCAAAAAAAACCTGTCAAGTAAGCTAGTTCATTCGAACAAACGACTTAAGCCCTAACTAAAGTACTGATGTAAAACTTAGAGGACAATGTTTTTAGAGTTGTAACAATCCCTAGTACTACACAAAAACTCATAAAATATAGACAAAATACATCTGCCACAGGGAGTTTTGCAGTAAGGCTCAAACCAAACAATGCATGATGCAAATAAAGTGTGATTTATTGGTTGAAATAGGGTAGCTGTAATGCATGGAGAAAAACGGGTGTCTTAACCCATGATCCTTGGCTGAATTCTAGGATGGTAATAAATAAACATAAGATACAGCATGTACTGTCAACCAAAGATTATATAGCGCCGCATAGTGGCTCAAGATGGGTAATTCGGCCATTAAGGTGTTATCACCATGGGCGCCATTCGAGTGTGAACGTTAATGTGTGTGCGTGCCTGTCGCGGCACCTGCGCCTGTGCATTAACATGCACTTCGCAGGCGTAGTCCAACCAGAATGGCGCCCATGTGATAACAACGTTTTACGCGTATTCATGGTGAAGTTCCCCATCTTGCGCCGCTACGCGGCGCTATACGATCTTTGCTGTCAACTTTCAAGAGAGCATGAGTTATGAGAGAAATGGATTTCTACACAGAAACTAAATAACCCTTATGACTGAAAAGTTTGGTTTTTCTCTATACTGCAAACATTCCGGAAAGCACACTCTTTGAATTGGTTTATCGGCAAGACCAAACCAGGGATGGAATGTTACAATACACACTACTGTACCTTGATTGCCTGCAGCTGATTGAGACATCATCATCGTCATGACCACTTACCATCGAGAATTTGGCCTGCTCAGTGAGGGGTCATGTTGGGTGTTCTCTGTATTTTCTGAAGATGTTCTGGTAAGAGGCACATGTTCTTAAAGCATTTGAATCTTTGGTTTGTTTATGAGCGGATTTCTTTCTTCAAAGCCTGGAAATGTTCACTTCTTTAAGAAACGCCTTTCCATTGAATGGACTTCATGCTCTTTTCCTAGAAAAGCCAATTCAACGAATCAGCCATCTAACCTTTTGGCTCATTCCCACAGAGCCGTGACTCCAATGGAGAATTGTTCGAAAACCTGTACAAAGGCAGGCAAAGTATTCACCATGCAGAATATTCAAACTGGTAATTTGGGTCCAATTTCATAAACCAGCTACGCTCACACATTTGACAAGAACAGAAATACATGTAAATCTGCTGAGTGAGTCCACTTAGCAGTTTTTTTAAGCAGGGCCCTGATGTGAAATTACAAATATATGCATATCTTTTGTATTGCTTGGTAACGAGTTGGAACGCTCGGTGCTATACTTGGGACTCTGGTTGTTCGTCGGGCCCTGATGTATCACCCTCCGATGCCTGCTCTTCGGCTTGTTCCCTGGTTTCCAAGAAGAGCAAGGGAAGCATGCCCGCCAGGCATCCAATCATCAGACCCAGGGCCCGACCCTGCCAAAAGAAATCATCGAAAAACCTCAAATATTGGAGACACTTGCAACAGAGCTATGAGTCTGCTATAAGAAGACAGGCGATTAGCATGTCGCAAATGAAGAAATTCAATACTGGACAACAACTGTGCGGGGTTGGGTTTTCAATTATTGACGGTGCAGAAGGAAGTGAATCAACTGATGTGACGAAAGTTTTTTGGCCTGTGAGAATAGAAGTTGATCAATTGCTCAGACGCACCCTTGCAAGCACACCCTTGCACCACACTCAGAAGCAATTTTGCAAGCACGCTCAGAAGCACCCTTGCAAGCACGCTCAGAAGCACCCTTGCAAGCACGCTCAGAAGCACCCTTGCAAGCACGCTCAGAAGCACCCTTGCACCATGCTCAGAAGCACCCTTGCAAGCAAGCTTAGACATGTTAGAAGCAACCTTGCAAGCACACTCAGAAGCACTCTTGCACCATGCTCAGAAGCACCCTTGCAAGCACGCCCAGAAACACCCTTGCAAGCACGCCCAGAAGCACCCTTGCAAGCATGCCCAGAAGCACCCTTGCAAGCACGCCCAGAAGCACCCTTGCAAGCACGCCCAGAAACACCCTTTGAAGTATGTTCTTTGCTAAATTAACAAGTACCCAGCCCATCATTAGGCACGATCACACAGATAACTCTGTCCAACTTTCCCTGCCCATCACAGTGCGGAACATTCACACAATGGAAAGTCCATGTTTCAGTTTGAATAAATCTCAGGACGATTGACATGGAAGTAAATTCTTACAATGCCAGCCATCCACCTTGTTTGCCTCATATCAGCCTGCTCTGGGGTCAGTTCCTTGGGATGGACTCCCACTCTAGCTGCAAGAGCCTCGACATAGCCAGCCAACCTGCAGAGACCACATTGACAGGATACCCAGTTCTGTTTAACCCTTGGTTTTAGCTTTCTCCTACATACATTTTATACATACTGTTTGGATTAATCTATTAGAAAGTTAAAGCCACTGCTGATTATGTTGGTGTCAAAATTGCGATCAAGTTTTACGTGCTCTTCCAGAATTTTTGAGACATTTTGTTTGCCAGTCCACTGGTAAAACAAACACTGAGTGTGCTTGAACAACTTTCATGGCTGACAGCATCCAAGAAATTCGCTTTAGTTTCAATCAATGGAGCAGTTGCGACACAGTGCTCCAGGACAGCTGGTGACAAAATATGACAAGCTTGCTCGGGCTGAGCTTAAACCCATACCCAATCAACCAGTGAGTTTTCCTGGGTATGCTGGCCATGTTAAATCGATTCTTGTCTTACTCTTAGAAGTTCAACTTATATTTTCGTTGTTTTGTTATAAAAAAGCGACTGTTGCCACTTATCATTAAATTTCGTACCTTTTCATTAAAAAGCTGGAAGCGTACAATTTGGTTTCAGGGCCAAATAACATGAAGAATAAAATTTGATTCAATCTAATCTAGTTTGACCTGATTAGATCGAAGTACTGAAATATGTGACTTCTGAAAGAAATTTGCACTGGAGAAATATACTAGGCAGTCCACTTACCCAACACCAGCCAGATCAGAGATGAGGTTACCAAGGGCAGCAGCTAAATAGGCAAACAAAGTTATATAATTACACTGCCTCTTCCTTAATTCTGTGGGTCACCACATCTCAACGAGTGTTACAACTTTTGCTTTTATGCACATTTGCATGAAAATTGGGATGCAATGCCCCAAATAGCCTCCACGGTTTTTAATTAAACCAAAACTTGATGACTTTTTCATGGAATGTCCAGAACTAAAATATAACCATTTCCATAATATTTAGCATCATTTTGTAGAGACAAGTTCTTTGGTATTAGGAAATGGAAGACTGTCATAGCCGCTATATATATAGACTGACAAGGATAGCCTGTAAATATATCATTATTCAGTAATAATATCCAAGTGGCTTATCCAAAAAACTTTGCATAATCTTGATTTCCGTGACTTTTCCCAGGCTTTTCTCTTCTAACAGGATTCAAGGACAGCTCATTTTGTCCCCAATTTTCCACGACTATTCCATGACTTTCCAGGACAACTTTTTTCCAGGAATTTTGGGGACTGTTCATGACTGTGGGAACCCTGTCCACAGAACAATCCTGTGTGTCCTGCTATGCACCAACAACAGTTTGGTTCAGGATTTCCTGCACAGCTGATCAGTTCACATTGACTGCCTTTGTATGTACAGGTAGGTACAGGACCCGGGATCTAACCGCAAACCCACAAGCGAAGGAAACCCACACCAACCTGCCATCGTGGAGATGCCAAGCGTGATTCCAATCGTCAAGTCAATGTAATCACCCTAGGGGAAAAAACACAAAGATGAGAAGGAAAACATCATTTGATAGTGGTGCACGATCAAAACAATGGAATGATGCATGGAAACTTAGGAAGCGGCTGAGTGAAGATGAGGTTTGGACAATGGTGTGGACTTGCCTTATGTACCGTTCAACCTTACATGCCATTTAACTTTACATTCCATTTAACCTTACATTCCATGGCCTACTACTGAAGCATAAAATTTGGTGCATTAAAAAAAGAGTGTCATGTAAAAGGAAGATCTCAAACACCATTTAC